CATAGCACCCTGTGTTTGCATTCCCTTTCTGTTTAATAAAAGTTATGCATAGTACCTGCACTTGCCTCTAAGGTCGATATTATGTGTCTCATTAGGTGGCCCAGTCGGTCTCATTAGGTGACCGAATATATGTCCCTGACGGCAGCCACTATTATGCTGCAGCAAAGCCACTAGATTATGCCAGTAGGACAAACAAGTAGATAAATATATGTTATTTATTTTTTCTGATCCCTCTGATTTGGAGTGATATAAATATGGCTGTAACAACTGAATATACTCCAAACTTCACATTTCAGTTTATAGTAAACCAAAGCTGTAAAGTATATCAGAATATCATGGGGATGGATAAGCAATTTAAACTGATGTAAATATAAACTGATATTTAGGTAGTAGTGTTGATACAAAAGGGGTGGTATGATTGTGCAGTGGTTAGCACTGTTGCCTCACACCTCTAGGACCAGTGTTCCAGTCCCCATCATGGCTCTATGTGTGTGAAGTGAACCACACAGACTATTTACAAGGTAATAAAACTGTTACATATTTGTCTAGAAAATCTCACACCAGTCAGTTGTCCAAAGTTGGCAACGCTGAAATATTGCATCTTTGATTTATGTAGTGTGTTTATCTAGGGTGACCAGATTTAAACTTGTGAAAAAGAGGAAACTTAGCAGCGGGCCGGGGGGGGCATGTTGCACCATGGCCATGTGAATGCATACAAATGTGCCCACAGTAATGGCTACTAAGCTATAGTATGGTAATTAACTTTAATGGCCTTTAACAAGACTAGCAATACCACCGTAAGCAATAGTGGTCAATATGGTTAGGATTTGGAACTTTTCACTGAATCCTGCACTAAACAATAACTTGGCATATTTCTTTTTATGGCTAAAGATTAAAATAAAGTGTAAAAGGTGCAAAAAAAACAAGAACAACAACTCCCATTTCCTTGGCATTCAGTCCTGTGCTTCAGTGGCCTTCAGTCCACTTTCAGTGGTGTGGTGCTTGGTTCTTTAATGTACCTCCAGATGATAACTTTTAGCCAGGTGATAATTCTCACTGATCAGTGTTTGGCCATAAATAAGGCAATAATAATAAAAGTAATTAATTTAAATCTTTTAGCTTACATCAACATATTTCTTAAAAGGCCACAGAATAAAATAAGATAAAATAAAAAGTCAGCCATTTCACTAGACTTTTAGTCCTCCTGATATGCTTGGGCATACTTTTCAGAAGACTGCATCTTTCCCAACAGTCGAGGATTACTCTTCAGGTAGGCACGAAAATCCTTGCATGTCATGTGTTTAAAATTGTACTGGGTGCACAGAACCCCCTTCAGTGAATCAACAGATAAGTGATACCTCTCCTTGGTCCACTGGGTTTGCATCAGTGAAAAATTCGCTCAACATTTGCATTGTGAGCAGGTATGGCAAAAAAAAACTGTGCGATATTAAGCAGCTCTGAATGAAAATCCACACTCTTGGACTATTTAGAACCTCTGGTGTGCTTGTAGACCACTGCAACTCCAAGAGAGCACTAAAAGCTGAAATCACTAATTTGCAGGATAGTAAGGGACTTATAATTGATAACGAAATCGATATAGTAAATGGGTTTAATGATTATTTTTCAAGGGT